AGAGAGAACGACCGTTTTCAAGGGTAAGATCTATATTTATGTTGACGTATTATTCTAAGCTGATTTGCTGATTGTGGTTCCTCACTACAATGTGATGCGCGCGATAGCGGCCGGAGCAAACCTGGTCTCTTAATAAAACCTGATCGAGCGACAGGGGCGTAATTCAGCATTGCTCCTACTATTACTGCTATCAAATATCACGGTATGATTTATTACCGGACAAATCTCTTAGCGCAAGAAAGATGAGGCGAGCATTAGTATTGTTCAAGTGTCTCGCTGCGAGAAATTAATAGTAATGCACACCTTTGTGACATTTCTTCTTTGTAACTTTACGTCCCCAGAGACTGAAAGGCTCAAAAGCACCGATCACCATAGGTTCTGTAAGAGTTTGGAGGGGTCGCGGGGGTGCTTAATGGCGCGCTAATTTCGAAAAAAAAAACAGAGAAATTCGTGAAGAAGACGCAAAACGGAACCACTTGTGTGGCCTTTAATTTCTCTCATGGACGGGTAGCGGCTAAGGCCGATGTCAGACTTTGCGAATCGCGCGATTCGCTAGCGTCTGCGGTCGCGTCGCGGCCAGTGAATCACTCAATTGGCTGGTACCGCAACGCGACCGCGGACGCTAGCGAATCGCGCGAATCGCTAGTAGCGAATCGCGCGATTCGCAAAGTCTGACATCGGCCTAAGAAGGCGACGTATAGAAGAGTTTACCGCAACACGTTTGGTGGCATCATGCCAATCCCGCTGCATCCACTCGAGTTGCTCCAGTTGTGCCGCTGCTGGCAACACAGCTCGTCCAAATCACCAACTAAACTAGTGGGCGGATGTTTTTGGAGTGCTGCTCAGCAACCGGCATGGAAGCGCCACACATCGCCCCCTTGGCAGCCAAGCTACTGCTTTGTGTACACATCCCCGATGAGTTCCCTCTATCGTAATCGCTTCCTTTAATTACTGTGATCGAGTACGGCCATTTTTATACGACGTGGTGTTTTCAAGCATTGCGTTACCTTTGGCTTCACTATTGCTCAGAGTGAAGCGAATTGTTCTGAATTACCAAACATCTAACACCTCGCATTCTACAGTAGAAGCCAAAACTATTCACTGGAATAGACTTTCGTGGTTTGCTTTCTTCTCTTGAAAATGACTTGAAAATTT